TTCTTTATGTGGACTGCCGCCGTATATTGAGCAGCTTGTTACAATTCCTTGGGTGGTCAACGTAGAGGTTCCACTGTATTTACATTATTTTATTTACAAAGAGTAGGCCCTTTATATTCCTTAAGGCAACTAACAGTGTACTGCACATTATGAGTTCAATAAGCATTTGTTGAACAGAAGTGGATTTAATATTGAGTATGAGTGACCAAAACAACACAAGTTAATTGAGGAAAGCTCCATGGATGAAGAGTGGAACAGTTTAGATGAAAGCCAGTAACTAAAAACAGCTAAGCACCTATGACTATGTACTAGGCATCATGTGTATATTAATTCATTCAGTCCTCTCACTAATGCTGTGACGAATTTCCATCACCATTTTCCAAAAAAGGAATTCAGAGTGATTTTACCCAAGATCACAGCTGCTGCATGAATACTTAATCCAACTCACTCTTTTTCACTGCTATACCCCAGTGCCAAAACAAGCTCCTGGAACATAGTGTATGTTCAACAAACATCTTTTAAATAAACTAAAAGATGAACAAAGAGAGCTGGTAAGTAGCAGAGCAGCAAATTCACAAGGCTTCCAGTTCAGTTCCCCACTGTTAAGCTGCCCATTTAAAACAGAAAAAATAAATAAATAAATAAACAAATAAAACAGAGGAAAGGCCAAGCACAGTGACTCACACCTGTACTCCTAGCACTCTGAGAAGCAAAGATGGGTGGATTGCTTGAGCTCAGGAGTTCTAGACCAGCCTGAGCAAGAGTGAGACCATTCTCTACTAAAAATAGCCGGGTGTTGGCTCAGCGCCTGTAGCTCAGGAGCTAGGGTGCCAGCCACATACACCAGAGTTGGTGGGCTTGAACCCAGCCCAGGCCTGCCAAACAACAATGACAACTACAACCAAAGAATAGCTGGGCGCTGTGGCAGGCACCTGTGTCCCAGCTCCTTGGGAGGCTGAGGCAAGAGAATTGCTTAAGCCCAAAAGTTTTAGACTGTGAGCTGTGATGCCACAGCACCCTACCGAGGATGACAAACTGAGACTCTGTCTCAAAAAAAAAAAAAAAA